CACACAGCACACACACAGCGCCCTGTAACACACAGCACACACAGCACACACACAGCGCCCTGTAACACACAGCACACACACAGCACACACAGCGCCCTGTAACACACAGCACACACAGCACACAGCGCCCTGTAACACACAGCACACACACAAACGCCCTGTAACACACAGCACACACAGCACACACACATCGCCCTGTAACACACAGCACACACACACCCTGTAACACACAGCACCCTGTAACACACAGCGCCCTGTAACACACAGCACACACACAGCACACACACAGCGCCCTGTAACACACAGCACACACACAGCGCCCTGTAACACACAGCACACACACAGCACACACACACATCGCCCTGTAACACACAGCACACACACAACACACACACAGCGCCCTGTAACACACAGCACACACAGCACACACACAGCGCCCTGTAACACACAGCACACACAGCACACACACAGCGCCCTGTAACACATAGCACACACACACACAGCGCCCTGTAACACACAGCACACACACAGCGCCCTGTAACACACAGCGCCCTGTAACACACAGCACCCACACACACAGCACCACACACAGCGCCCTGTAACACACAGCACACACACAGCACACACACAGCGCCCTGTAACACACAGCACACACACACAGCACACACACAGCGCCCTGTAACACACAGCACACACACACAGCGCCCTGTAACACACAGCACACACACAGCGCCCTGTAACACACAGCACACACACAGCGCCCTGTAACACACAGCACACACACAGCACACACACAGCACACACACACACAGCACACACACAGCACACACAGCGCCCTGTAACACACAGCACACACACACAGCACACACACAGCACACACACAACACAGCACACACACAGCACACACACCACGCACACACACAGCACACACACAGCACACACACACAGCACACACACACAGCACACACACAGCACACACACAGCACACACACACACAGCACACACACACACAGCACACACAGCACACACACACAGCGCCCTGTAACACACAGCACACACACAGCACACACACACAGCACACACAGCACACACACAGCACACACACACAGCACACACACACAGCACACACACAGCACACACAGCACACACACACAGCGCCCTGTAACACACAGCACACACACACAGCACACACACACAGCACACACACACACACAGCACACACACACAGCACACACACAGCACACACACACACAGCACACACACACAGCACACACACAACACACACACAACACAGCACACACCCAGCACACACACACAGCACACACACACAGCACACACACACACAGCACACACACACACAGCACACACACACACAGCACACACACACACAGCACACACACACAGCACACACACAGACAGCACACACACACAGCACACACACAGCACACACAGCACACACACACACAGCACACACACAGCACACACACACAGCACACACACACACAGCACACACACACAGCACACCCACACAGCACACACACACAGCACACACACACACAGCACACACACACACAGCACACACGTCGAGTACAGCAATGCACGTGGCGGCATCTCTCTGCACGAAGCGGCGCGTGGCTAAAGCTCGAGGGGGAGGTGTCGGGGTGGCTCAGCAGCCCACGCACAAAGAAGCCCACAGCCGGCTCGCGTTGATGCCCGTAGGCTGAGCCTCGTGCCCACGTGGGCACGAGGAGCCGCGGGTGAGGGGGCGGGTGAGGTGAGGGGGTGGGTGAGAGGGGGCGAGTGAGGAGGGGGGCGAGTGAGGAGGGGGTATGGGGAGGGGGTGGGTGAGAGGGGGGGGTGAGGAGAGGGCGGGTGACGGGGGAGGTGGGTGAGGGGGAGTGAGGAGCGGGTGAGGAGAGGGCGGGTGAGGGGGCAGTGAGGGGGGGCGGGTGAGGAGGGGCGAGTGAGGAGGGGGTAGGTGAGAGGAAGGCTGAGGAGGGGGCGGGTGAGAGGGGGGGTGAGGAAGGGGTGAGGGGGGGGGGCGAGTGAGGAGGGGGGCGGGTGACGAGGGAGCGGGTGAGGGGTGAGGGGGCGGGTGGGGGGTGAGGGGTGAGGGGAGAGGTGAGGGGGTGGGTAAGGGGGTGGGTGAGGGTGGGTGAGGGTGCAGCAGGAGTTGGTGCTCCGCCGCGTCACGCCGAGGCCTGCGCCAGGCCGAGTGGCCATCGCGCCGTGGGCACCGCGCTGAGCGCCTCCTGGCCATCGGTGCCCCCCCCAACCACAGAACCCCCCCCCCCCAACCACAGAACCCCCCACCCATCACCCCATTCGTCGCGTCTTTAATGGAAGCAAAACGTTGGACTTGGACACAAAGTATGTTCTCGTCTTGCGAGCTTCCGCTGCGGCCAACCCTCACGCCACCCCCCCACCCGGGGCGCCAGACGTTCCAATATTTGTCTGCGTGTTTGAAGCGAGGCCGGCCGCTCTCCTTCACCCCAGATACCTCCCTCCCTCCCTGCCTGCCTCCCTCCCTGCCTCCCTCCCTCCCTGCCTGCCTCCCTCCCTGCCTCCCTGCCTGCCTGCCTCCCTCCCTGCCTGCCTTCCTCCCTCCCTGCCTCCCTCCCTCCCTGCCTGCCTCCCTCCCTCCCTGCCTGCCTGCCTCCCTCCCTGCCTCCCTCCCTCCCTGCCTGCCTCCCTCCCTGCCTGCCTCCCTCCCTCCCTGCCTGCCTCCCTCCCTGCCTGCCTCCCTCCCTCCCTGCCTCCCTCCCTGCCTGCCTCCCTCCCTCCCTGCCTGCCTCCCTGCCTCCAGCCACCGTGTGCACTTCAAGAGACGTCAGAAAACACGAAAGCCCACGCAGACCACTCCCAAATTGGACCCCAGGCCGCGTGGACTGAAGGTGGTGGCCTTAGGCTGGCAGCCGTGACCCCTTCTGTGCTGATGTCGCCTCATTGTCGCCGAGTACTCAACTCATTGGGGGGGGGGGGGCAAGTGCTGTTAGCGAGCGCCTATTAAGGCCGACACGGCGGCGCACGGTGGCATCGTGTGGCCGTCACGATGGCTGAGTCGACCCAGGAAAGGCTCAGAACCGGCTCGGATAGTGGCAACTGATTGTTTGCCGTGAGCGGGAATCGAACTCCTGTGGGGGGGGGGGGGGGGTAGGGGGCCCATGGTTCATAGGGCAGTGCGCTAACCACTGCACCACCACTCTGCTGATAACAAAACCCCAAGACACACAAAGACGCACGCACGCACGTCCGCACCCATTAAGAGCGCGCGTGCATCACCACATGCTTGGAAGACGTCGCGAGGATTCGCAGCATCTCTTAAAGTTCTCTTTGTCGCCTCTCGTTACTCCCACGCCACTACCACCACCACCACGCGGGTTCCAAAGCAGCAGATGACACGTACACAGTCAGGGCGCTCATAATTGTGGGGCAAGCCGCAGTTTCGCGGGTCTCCCGTCTAATGGGAGGGGGAGAAAAGTGGACCCAACGAGGTACAATCGGGTCAAACAGACCTCGGTCCAAAACAAGCCGTGCCACCGGGAGCACGGATGACAATTCCCCAAACTGTGCCGGGTCAGCTGGCAACCTTGACGGCCCACCACTCGCTCATCCGCTCCCTCACCCAGCAGCGGCTGGATGGTGGCTGCTGCTGCTGATGACGACAGTGGTATTAATGATGGGGAGTGCGTGGGGTGTGAAGGCTGCTTGAATGTCGTCAGCCCGGGCTACCCAGAGAGAGGAGGACCCACGCGTGCGGCGTACACCTGGCTGTGTGTGTTTGTGCGCAGCTGAATAATTGAGGCTTTCAAACCGAACACCTGACCTCACCTGACTCGGCTGCACTGGAAAAACCAGGCCGGCTCGTTTTGCACCGCGCGCACTCACACACACACACGCTGCCACCGCGGAGTGAAAGCCTAAACTGTGCACACGTAGGTGCAAACTAATCTCTACCCCCCCCCTCCCACTTCCATCTCAGCTGCCCCCTCCTCACACCCCCCTCCTCCGTCCACTATCTCACCACCGCACTCCCCACCAACCAACCTCCAGCTGCCCGCTCCGCACTTCCCCGAATCCTCCACCTCCAGGAGCCCAAAGGTCGCCCGGTGTCGAGTTTGCGGCGCCCTCCCGGGCTGTCTGGAGAGCGCCTTGTGTGTGTGTGAGTGTGTGTGAGAGTGTGTCTGTGTGCACACGTGTGTGTGTGTGTGCACACGTGTGTGTGAGTGTGTGTATGAGTGTGTGAGTGTGTGCGAGTGCACACGTGTGAGTGTGAGTGTGTGCACACGTGCGTGTGTGCACACGTGCGTGTGTGCACACGTGCGTGAGTGCACACGTGCGTGAGTGCACACGTGTGTGTGTGAGTGTGTGTGAGTGTGTGCGTGAGTGCACACGTGCGTGAGTGCACACGTGTGTGCGGGGAGCGGCGGTGCAGCTGTTAGCACACTGACCCAAGTTCGATTGGCCAATACCGGTGACGAATATCTGAACCGGTCCTGGGCCTCCTCTAGATCGACTCAGCCTCAAATGAGTAGCCTGGTGCAGAGTGTAAACATCGCCATTGGGTAGACATGGTGCTGGCCACCCACTCCCTCGTCTGCGGTTCCGACCTTCATAATTACTCGCTCACGGAACTTGGCACAACAGTCTCTGTAGGTCATTGTCTCCGTGAGTCACGTAACCCATGGGCACCCGGGTCTCTCCTGTGACCTCCTGACAGCGATCCTTCGACTCGTCACGTGGCCTCGACGTGCACCTATCCTGGCACAAGCGCCGTGGTGACGTCACCAGCTGCCGTTGTCTTCTTCCGTGCCATGTGTGCGTCTGTGCGTGCGCGTGTGTGTGTACGCGCGCGCGTGCGTGTGTGTGTGTACGCGCATGTGTGCGTGTGTGTGTGTGTACGCGCATGTGCTCGAGAACGGCCTTCGCCCCAACGGTCTGTTAAAGGCTTTGCGGGTCGATCTTTGTCTCTCTGCGTTTGCGTGGCGCCGCCCCGGCAGGATGAGGAGTCGGAGTCGGTGGGCAGCGTGGAGGAGCAGCGCGACATGAGCGCCTCCGCTCCCCCCGCGTCTGAGACGGAGCGCCGCGATGGCGGTGGCAGCAGCAGCAGCAGCAGCCCCCGGGGCAGTCAGGGCGGCGATGAAGGTAGCACCGGCGACCCTGCCCCCCGCGAGCCTGCCCCTCCTGCCCCCGCGACTCTACCCCCATGACCCTGCCACCGCGACTCTACCCCCATGACCCTGCCCCCCGCGACCCTGCCCCCTCGACTCTGCCCCCGTGAGCCTGCCCCTCCTGCCACCGCAACTCTACCCCCACGACCCTGCCTCTTCAACCCTGCCCCCACAACCCTGCCCCCGCGACCCTGCCCCTGCCGGCAATGTTTTAGGAAACGGTGTCTTCTTCATAGAAGAGAGGTCTCCCTGCTTTAGATCGGCGAGTGCGTGGAGGTTTCGTTTACATGAAAGCGAATCCACACAGCTCACACGATCCCAACGATCCACGCGTACATTAATACAGTACAAGTCGTAGATTTTCACATGCGCGGTTCGCGCGGGAATCAATTCTGTCCGCAGGACTGATGCATCGTTGTGCGCCTCCTGCACACCAAGATATTGTCAGTGCCTCCTGACTTTACTGCACTCGATTAATCGAGGGGAGGGCTCTACGCAGCTACACCGTGGAAAATCAATATCCACTCCAAATTTGTCCCCTTGCGAACGGCCAAGTGCTCCGCAAACCGCCTCCCCGCCGTTTGGCTTATCCCAGGATGACGCCACCGGATCAGTGACCAAGAGGCGTTGCTATAAGCGGTCCGCTGGTAAAGAGGACAGCCGTGAGTTTGCGGGTGAAATAAGTCGTCACGACCTTGAGCCACCCTTATGTTGATCCGGCCCCGATCGCAGCCATGGGCCACGTGGCAATGCCACTTGTGGCCATGCCCAATGGGGCGCCGTGGTGGCGATATGTTAACTCTCTCGCCTGGTATGCAGGAGGTCCTGGGTTCGATCCCGGCCCTGAGGCCTGTTGTATATTTGGAGTTTGCATGTTCTCTCTCCCTGTACTCGCGTGGATTTTTCTCTGGGTCCTCCGGTTTTTCCCTCCGCATTTAGAATTAACGGCCGTTTAGAGTATTTGGCTGCTATACATTTCCACGTGATAAACCACTTTGTTGAGCTGTAATTTGTGGCCAGCACGCTTCTGAAAAAGAGAAAATTGTTTAGTTTTTTTGTTTCAATGCAGCCTCACCCATAAAGGCCCTTCTCATTAACTTTAGCGATGCTGAGGCCATCTTGTGCACTATGCACACCAGAGAATCCGGTTTTAGAGGCGTTGATGCGTTGGCAAACAGACACCGCTAAAGAGGGCGGCGGTTAGCGTGAGGTGGGGAAGTCATAACCCTGAGTTTGCAACGAACTGAGAATATAAAATCTAAATATTCAGCAAAATGTTTTGCTTGCCATCAACCTGTTGGATTTAAAGACCGGTGCCATCCGGTAGCACCCGTGGGAAAAGCCAACTCTGGAACGGTCTCGACCTTCTGGGTCTCATCAGCAAGGTCAGGCTTGCTAAAATTCTGCTGAATTAAGAGATGTTATTGGCAAGAGCTCTCCAAATAAACTATGGCATCCCGTTAAACGCACAAAGCAATACCATGCTGAGTGTGCGTAACATACGATTAATATTGCCTTACAATGTATAACAGCCTAACGTTTCAGGCAATAGCCCTCATTCAGAGCAGAGAAAGAGTGACCGACTCATAGTTGTCGACTGCATGTTATACCGCGAAGTTAAAGTGTATATATTTTTAAATGGTTTATAATTGAACAGTTGTCCATCGACCACTTCAAAAGTTAAACAGATATGTTCGAGAGCTCAATTGCACTCAAAGTAAAACGGTCGACTCTTGCCACCTAACCGTTTCTAGGGAAGAGCCATTATTATGGAGCAATCCGCACCTACCACCCCTCAACGTTGTGATTTGTTTCGGCTGCGAATGCCTTGTTGATCAGTTGGTAATTGAGATGAACCCGGACCAGGATCCCAGGATAGCCCTCATGAGTCAACAAGATGCCGTTCATAGAACTCTCGCTCCGGCACGCACCACATCTCGCGTACGTTGCAGCGACCCATGTCCATGGGATGCACGCACGGAAGCTGCTGCTTCGTGGCCGAAACGGTGGAAGTGGCTGGGGGAGGGAGCGTAATTGACAGCGCGATTGCTTCGCCAAAACTGAGTCCAGTGCAGCGTCTCAGCCTCACAATGGCCTGGCTCGCGATCGGTCCACATCTCAAATGAGCGTGGAGCGAACGTTGAAAACAAAAGCTTCATAAATGACTTGGCCGTCTGCATCGGACACACCTGGCGAGGGCTGCTGCAGAAAATCGAGAAGCATTTAATGGCTGCTGAGGGTGAGGCGGTGAAATCGACTCCACGCCGTTCCGGGGTTTACCGACGATCCAGGGATAGAACCCAAAATATAATAACGGCCCAGAACTCGTGATCCGTCGTTACGGACGCTCCTGTGGGGTGAAGTTGAGCACACTGGACTTGCTATCTAGAGGCCGCCGGTTGGATTTCATCTCCCGGCGCGGCAGTTGAACAACTCAAGTTTCTTAATTTCCTACCCTTGCCACCCCCGTCCACCCAGCAGCAGTGTGCATGGGTTCATCGCAGTTGGTCAATCGGCAGGTCGTGTCCGGTGGGGTAAAGTGTGGGTAACTGCCACTTCTCCCACTACGTCTTGCCAGCGTGGAGGGGGCATCTCTCGAGCTCCACTGTAGTGGAGGGCCTTCGGCAATCAGTGGGGTGAGTGAGCCTTGCCCCTCCGATCCCCTCAGAGCAGACCCGGGGGGGGGGGGGAGGGGGGGAGCAGCCTGTCCCGTGATCCGTGGCACTGACATTTCCCACGGAGACCGACCCGACGGGTCCCTCGCTGCTGCGTCGTCTTTATTTGCTGTCGCGCGTTGTTCTTCAACACGGCGGTGTGGAAGTTGTTGTTGTTGTTGTTGGCGGCGGCTCGCACAGCTGGGGCTCATCCCGTGCGTAAATTTAACGCGGTCCAACGAGGTCGTCGCAGCCACGGACACGGAGGGAGCCCTCCCGGTTTCGTCTCCTGCCAAAATAAAAAAAAACCTCTCCTGCCCATGGCCGACAGCTGCGTGGGCAGGCCTTCATCCAGCAGTGGATTGACCAAACATCTGTTAATTATTGTTAGGGTCAGGGTGGTTGAAGTCACATAAATGATTATATAAAATGTCAACATCTTTGTCAACCTACTGTTGGGTGGAGATCACGATGTAGGCACAGTCCTGCCTACGTACATCAGTCCACTACTGGATGGAGGCATGCATAGACACAAACAAACCAGCGTGCGCGACTACAGTGGGAGTGGCGGTGCCCATAACTCAGTGGCTCGTAACCTGGGGTGCACCACCCCCTGGGGGAGCGAGACGTGGCCACATCTTTTTTTAGAAGGTAAATCATTGAACCACAAATTAAGCACGGGCACACAAGTACAACTACTTCTTCATCTTCTTGGTTCTTTCGGTAAAGTCACGTAGAATGGAAATAAAATAATAAAAATAAAACATAATAAAATGAAATTCTCACGACGTTTCGGCCACAACAGAAGTAGCCTTCCTCAGGCGAAGAAACAGAACTGTCGGAAAGACAGCGCTCCAATGAACACTGCTAAGCTTGGCTTAGCAGTGTTCATTGGCTTAGTAATCATTGGAAAGACGTGATAAACCATTTCGGTTCTTGATTAATTGTATTTTACGGTGACTTTCAGACCGCAGTCCATTCGCTGGCACTGCCTCTTAGTACCTTTCACACGACGGTCAATGGTATGGTTTATAGCATATTGTATAATAATAAATAGTATAACAGTGTAATGTTTAACATAATTCATAAGGCTATATATAGTATCGTAATTGTATAATTCAATGGTGGGGTTTGTCTATGGCAGTGTATATTACGGTGTATAGTCGTGTAATGTAGAAAAAAGTTTAGTTGGAGGCATATCAATATAATGCATAATGTTAGAGCTTACATTAGGCTGTGTATACGATATTATACAATGTAGTTTAGATTGGAAGGTATAATATTGTAATGTATAGTAGTCTAGTTTATAACATAGTTGTAACGCAACACAGGACAGAGCAGCGCATCGTGGCTGTTTATCTCTCTCTCTCCCCCCTCCTGCGTTCCGAGCATAGATGGACTCGTCCGTCTGAACAAAGCTCGTCGCTTTCCGTGGTGCTAACGTTGAGGAAAAAAGAAAAAAAAAGAAACCGCCACTTTTTTCGACGTAGAATTGTAATGTATAACGACTTATTGTTAGTAGCTCAGCTGATTGGAGAGTATATTGAGTTTATTGATAATATAGATGTAGTTTATATTTTAATTTTTTTTATCAGTTTACTATATGGTATTCATTATATAGTGTAGTGTATACCCAGTTACTTTATGTAAATAGATCAGCTTATTGGAGAATATATTGAGTACATTGATTATATTGATGTAGTTTATATATAGTTCTTTCACATCTGTTTATTGTATGATAGTTGGGTAGTTGTAGTTATTTAGCGTCAATATACTAAATGCCTCTGTTGATATGTAAACTCTGACTTTAACATAGCTACTTCCGTGACCAGTTACATGCTAATCCCTCACACTAACATCATGCTAATCTCCCAGTTACATGCTAATTTCTGACTTTAACATCCTGCTAATCTATCACATTAACACAGCTACTTCAATGCTAAATTCTTCTGTTGATATGTAAACTCCTTTGTCAAGGCGCTCTGCTCCTCCCACCCAGCTTAAAAGACGCTGCCAAGCTTAGCAGTGTTCCTTGAAGCACTGTCGTCCCGACAGTTCTGTTCCTTCACCTGAAGAAGGCTACTTGTGTTGTGGCCGAAACGTCGTGAGAATTTTATTTTATTATGTTTTATTTTTATTATTTTATTTCCCTTCTACGTGACTTTACCGAAAGAACCAAGAAGATGAATCCCTGCAGTCACGAAAGCTTTAAATCGAAATAGAACTACTTTGTTTCATCAAACCTATGTGTTTATTAATATTTGTTATAATTTTCTCTACGCTTGAGAACCAAAGGGGAATAAGGCTGCGGTAAACGTCA